CTTTATTATACACTGGGTTGTTTCCATCTTAACATTTAAAAATGGAAACAACATGATCTTGCCTGTGTAGTCAGAGTATTGAGGTTGATTGGAAAGGAGGGAGACTCGGGAGGACTCCAAAATACCTGTTTGAGGCACAGAGAGAGAGGTGCAGTATAGGTGGGGAAAAGGGCCAGACTTAGCGCATAATGTGGCTTTGGTGGCATCTTGGTTCTGTGGGAAGAAAGGGAGGGGACAAGAACCAATGGTCTTAGTGTGAGTGGTTGGGAGGATAAAGATGCCCTTAACTGAGACAGAGAAACCTGGGGGGAAGGAGGATGGGGAAGGGAGAAACCGGGAGGGGAAGGGGAGGAGAGAGGAGGAGAAAAGGGAAGAGTTATTTTCCTTTTCTTTGGGGATGGGGCAGAGTGGGGAAAGCCATGCAGGAATTTGGACTTGTGATACTGACGTGTCTTCAAGACATCCAGGTGGAAATACCGGGGGACAGGTGTGAAAATGGAGTGAGACAACGCCATTATTATAAAAGGGACCTACATATATACTTACACCCTGCTAGCCCTTCGGGTTCTTAGAGCTGCTGGGAGAACCTCTCCGAAACGATAGCAGGGTACACAGTGCCCTCTTGTGGCGATAACGGCAACTGCAACTGAGCCTATCACCATTAGGGCAGAAAAGTCCTGAAATCCTGAAAGCCGCCTGTTTTGCCCCATTAGCTTAGGAAGGAAATCTGACTCAGACAGACTCGCACAATGTGTTTTAAGATCCTGCACAGTCATCTTGGCTCTGTGGGAAGAAAGGGAGGGGACAAGAACCAATGATCTTAGTGTGAGTGGTTGGGAGGATAAAGATGCCCTTAACTGAGACAGAGAAACCTGGGGGGAAGGAGGATGGGGAAGGGAGAAACCGGGAGGGGAAGGGGAGGAGAGAGGAGGAGAAAAGGGAAGAGTTATTTTCCTTTTCTTTGGGGATGGGGCAGAGTGGGGAAAGCCATGCAGGAATTTGGACTTGTGATACTGACGTGTCTTCAAGACATCCAGGTGGAAATACCGGGGGACAGGTGTGAAAATGGAGTGAGACAACGCCATTATTATAAAAGGGACCTACATACATACTTACACCCTGCTAGCCCTTCGGGTTCTTAGAGCTGCTGGGAGAACCTCTCCGAAACGATAGAAGGATACACAGTGCCCTCTTGGGGCGATAACGGCAACTGCAACTGTGCCTGTCACCATTAGGACGGAAAAGTCCTGAATCCTGAAAGCCGCCTGTTTTGCCCCATTAGCTTAGGAAGGAAATCTGACTCAGACAGACTCGCACAATGTGTTTTAAGATCCTGCACATAAAGGAACAGGTGCTCAAGGGTCCAGAGAAGCCGACCGCTCCTTCAGCAGGTGCTGTGAGCCTAGGAGGCACCTCTGGAACAAACAACACAGTAGAAATGGCTGATGGACAGATAGATGTGAAAGGCAGGGTTAATGGGGCACAGGGAGGTGAGCACAGTTTGTATATTGAAAACATTTGGGGCCACCATCATGTTCCACCTTTCCTTTCGATTTCCTAACTATTAATGAACAAGCAGCTTTGCCAGCCAGGCAGCTCTAGTTTAGAGAAATAGTCTACTTGAGTGGTTCCTAAGCAACATCGTGATCAAGTGGAAAACGTTTTGTTTGGGGTTCTTATCACCTTTTAATTGGCCCTGTCTCAGGTTAAGGAAAGGCCATTTCAAAAGTCTGAGCATTTCTTTCTTTCTTTCTTTCTTTCTTTCTTTCTTTCTTTCTTTCTTTCTTTTTTTTAAAAAAAGATATTTTTATTGATTTCAGAGAAGGGAGAGGGAGATAGAAACATCAATGATGAGAGGGAATCATTGAGTAGCTGCCTCCTGCACATTGAACCGAGCCCACAACCCAGGCATGTGCCCCTGACCGGAATCGAACCTGGGACCCTTCGGACTGCAGGCTGACACTGTATCCACTGAGCCAAACTAGCGAAGGCCTGAGCATTTATTTCAATACAAACTCCAGGAATGACTCAAATGGCAGAACCTGCCTAGTGGCAGGCAGTATGAGTTAGGACTTAGGTTTGACTGTCGTGAACGAGACTCCAGATGAGATTGGTTTAAGCAAGACAGAGGATTATTTCTCTCACATCTAAAAGGTCTGGATTTAGGCCATTCATGGCTGGATTGGTGGCTGCACTGTCCGCTGGGACCCAGGTTGCTTTCAGCTTTCTGTTCCATTACCCTCAGGGTGTGGTTGTCATGGTCGCAGTCCAAGATGGAGCTTCAGGCACCACATCCACTTCCTAGAAGCAGAATAGGGTTGTGGAACAGAGACTGATTTCCTATCAACAGCCAAGCGTCTGCAACATGAGGATGCATATGAATTGGGAAAATAACTGTGTAAATAAAAACTAGAGAGGTCTTGAGGCTGATCGTGTGGTGTGTACTTCCTAGTTATGATGAACTTAATCTCCATACCTGGAGAGCGGAAAATAAAATGAAATAAAATACGGTAAAGTAAAATGATAAGAAGGAGCAGCATCGTTCGGGGGAGGAGGCGTCTGGTGAGGCATTCTGGGGCAGCCAGGGGCAGGAGGCGGGTGGGAGGGACCATTTGCCAACCTGGCTTTAGGGAAAAGTTCCGTTTGGGCCACCTGGGGTTCTTTCCAGTCTCTGCAAGCTTTTATTTGAAGAATGATCCATGCAGTTATTAACCTCCCCAGTGGAAAGCATTTCCACTTCCCAGAGCTCTCCTGCTGTCGGAGATATGAGTCCAGCCATCTTGGCTTCACTGAGCCAAAGGGTTTCCTGACACTCAAGCAGGAGGAGACCCGCCCAGGCGAGCCCAGCCAGCCTGCGCCTTTGCTTTTAGATCACAAGGGGCACCATTCGGCAGCTGGTTTCTCTGCACACCCTCCAGTCCCCCGTACTCGTTCATATCTGGTCATGATCACAATTCTGAATGTGTTACCCTACGGTCAGGAAGTCTTCAACTGTTACACTCAGAATAAATAACAGAACCTTCTTGCATTATTCAAAACTCTTCCCAGTTTGATCCCCAAACACCTTCGTAATCTTATCACTGTGTGGTTCATTTCTTTATTACATAAACATCTATCTCAGTGTCTTATAACCGAGAAATATTTGATAAACATTTATTGAATAAACAAATGGATGGGTGTATTCACCAAAACTTTAAAAGTGAGCAATGGAAAAAAATCTGAATTGGGATCCAAAAATTGGCAAATTGATTTCCGGGTCCTCCTGGTCCCCCCCCCCCCCACCTCTATTCATCTTTAATTTTTCAATTTTATTTATCTTCCCTTTGATTTGGGAAGGAACAAAAGTGCATCTGTGATGGGTGGTCTTAGATTGCTTGTGACATCCTTAAAGAATATAGAGATTGGCTTTATTCAAATTTCTTTCTTAAAATCTTCCCTGATATTTTTATCTGAAATAAGTCTCATCATGAAAATAACCTATAGTTGGAATTGGTGATTATGGCAGTGGTCATGGGAGGAGGAGGTGAGATTTGAGCTGGACCTTGACAATGGACATTGTTTCAATAAGCAGAACTGAGGTAAACTCCATGCAGGAAGGGGCTATACCTACCTTATTCTACTGCATCTCCAGTGCTCATTAGAGTACCAAGCATAAAATGGGTACTCCATCTATAATTCTTCAGTGAGTCCATCAATAAATGAGCAAAGGAAATAGAGACAAACACTAAATATGTCTGATGAACAATAAGGTGTATTTAGATGAAACAGCAAGTTCTAGCAGGAAACAAGTTATTAAAAATTATTAATTTGAGAGAGAGAGAAACATTGATTTGTTGTTCCACTTATTTATGCATTCATTGGTTAATTATTGTATGTGCCCTGATCGAACACGCAACCTTGCTGTATCGGGATGACACTAACCAACTGAGTTACCAGCCAGAGCTGGGAACAGGTTAAAAAAAAGCAGTGTTCAGCCAAATTGAAAAAAGCATTAGCAAAGACTTGTTGTTGTTGTTTTTAATCCTCACCCGAGGATATTTTTCCATTGATTTTTACATTGAGTGAAAGAGAGAGGGAAAGACAGAGGGAAATATCGATGCGAGAGAAACACATTGATTGGTTGCCTCCTGCAGGAGCCCCGATCGGGGCCCAGGAGGGAGAGGAGCCTGCAACCGAGGTAGATGCCCTTTACTGGAAACGAACCCGGGACCAGTCCGCAGGCTGACGCTCTACCCACTGAGCCAAACCGGCTAGGGCAGCAAAGAATGTTTTTAAGTCCTATATCCAGTTGGTGTCTCCTGCCTAATTCAGAATACTTATCTCTCCAGTCTAGCTGATAAGCTATCCCCAGGAGAATCCTCCAGAGAGAGACAAGGTGGTCCTAAGAGACTGAGGAATTGTTAAGGTAATTTGTGGCACCGAAGCTTAATAAAGGGGTCACAGGTAAGAGTTCTGCCCTGTTTGTTTGTTGTACTTAAACCTGTGCATGGTGGTAGGTGACTGAGTTAAAAAAAAAATCACAAACGGACTCAGTTCAAAAACAACAAAGCACAATGAAATGAATTTGGAAGGAGTCCAAGGACAGTAGGCTGATTCTTGCTTCTCTGGGAGGGCATTCTGGAGGGATAAAGCCTCTTGAACAACCTGTAGCTGTGTGTGCTCCCCACGGCCAACTTGATGTGGGATGGGTGGAGTAGCTGGAGCGGAGGGCGGGGTCACAGTGGGGAAGGAAGTGCTGGGGAAACCGAGGTACAGACAAGGCTGCGGATTGTGTATTAACGAGGTTGCAGAGCGTTACGGCCTTACAAGCAGAGGGGATTTCAGTAGTGGGCACCTGAACAATGCTCAAAGCTTTCGTTTTTCCCCCAAATCTCCTGGTGGTCATGCCATGCTACAGTGGGGACCCCAGGCCAAGAGGGCCAGGAAACATTGCTTCTAGCAAACACGAAGAATTTCAGAGGATTCAAATGCGTGGGGGCCGGATGAATAATAACGTCTGCTGACATTTCCACAGCGTTTAGCAGTTTAATGATCTGGTTTATTTTGTGCACAGCCTAGTTGATTAGTGTTGCTTAGGTTTCACAGACTAGATAATGGGTCTGAGGAGGAATGTAGCAGTGCGTCAGCCCAGTGCCCAGCACTCAGGTCTTGTGTCTCCAAATTCACCACCTCTCCGTCCCCTTCACCGTTCCTCCTGGGCCTCGCTGATGGCGATGACAGTCATTCTAGAGCTCATCTCTCATGTCCCGATGAAAGGGTGCCTACTGGTCTCCGGACCCCGAGATGCTGTTAGCCCCGGGTTACTGACTCTTATTCCATGTGACAGTAAGGGGCTGGGCCAGGCTGCTGTGCTGCACGTGGCAGGAGTAAGGGCCTCTGTCCAAAGAGGGGATTTTCACCGCCACCCAGGACTGGTAAGTGCCATTCTCACTGAGAGGACCCTCTCCCCATGACTCAGTCTCCACTACACTGTCTGCCTGAGTCCAGTACATACTGATTGGTTGTGGGTAGAAGTTGTCGGCCACGCACGTGAGGGTCCGGATGAGTCCTAGTGTCACACGGCTGGTGATTGACACAGAGGGAGGGTCTGTGGAGAGATAGAGCACACAGTTTGAGGGTCTGAAGGAGACATTTCCCTGTTCACGTCTCTCCCACCCCTGGAGTCAGGGATGAGCAGAGCTCTCCGTTTTCTACCTGCCTCCCCAGGAAACTTCCAGAAGATCAGGGAAGCTGAGGCTTTCCATGAGGCTTCCCTGTTGGATAATGGAATGTCTGTGGCTACTTCCTTGCCTCCCAGCACCCCCCTGTCCACGCACTGTGGATTGACTTCTGGTGGCAAGAAATGCGAATGCCCCATGCATTGTTTTGTTTTCCCCCCAAAAATCTCCCAGTGGGCTTTGTGGCTCCTGCCTCCGCCGTCTGCCTGCTGCTCTGTCTTTGTGACCCTGCCCTCTTCCCTCCCATAAGAACTTCTTTCTGATTAATTCTTAAACCCAGGTCTCAGCTTGTGTCAATCAATCCTGCTCACACTTACTCATCTTCATCCTTCCTGGGCAGACATTTTACACACCTGCCTTCTCCCCACAGCCAAGCCAGGAGGCATATCACAGAGAGAAATGACTACAGAATTTGCCTGAAATGTTCCTCTGAGGTCCCAGCCAGAAGTTGGTCTTTCTCAGCTCAGTGTGAGGAGGAGGACATGGGGGCAGTAGGTACCTTGACGGTCCAGGAAGGGCCTGCTGAATTGCAGGTAGCTCCGTAGCGTTTCAGGGCACTCATTTTCCAGATAGTTCTTGGACGCTTGCGCAGAGCCTTCTGTCTCCCACTTCACCTTAGTGTTCACAGCTTCTGGTTGCAGGGGGATCCAGGCGGGGATTTCTGTGTTGAACTTGATGTAGTCCTGTCCATCATAGGCATACTTCCAGAATGCTCCACAGTAGCTGTCATTCCGAATCTCACAACCGAACGTTCCCTTAAAGGTGTGATTTCCTGCAGGTAAGCCGCCCCCGCCCCCAAGAAATCAGTCAGCCTGGCATCAACTCTGTCTTAATAACTCTGACTCCTACATAGTTTGCAACTCAATAGGGAGAAAGGGTTTTGAAATCTAAACATGCAACCCCTTTTATCTTGGCAAATGGCTTATTAGCCAGACATAGAGCAGGCAGAGAGAGGAGAACTTAGTATACTCTGGTGTTTTACATTCTTCCCAATCAGGGAATTTCAGATTGCTGCAGACTGTGGACAGATCTTCTAGTCCCGTACAGCACCTCTTTAAATAAAATTTGAATAAACTGTGGGGTCTTAGGAACCGGACACAAGCACACAGAAGTGCACTGACAGGTCAAATAGAAATTATTTGTAGTTTAAAATAGATTATGTAGTCTCTCCTTTTCTTCCAGTTGTGTGTGAAGTTGATGTCTCCAGTTGGGTCAGCATAATTTTATCAGCTCTTTTCTCTTCTTGCATTTTTGATATCTTCAAACAAATCTCTAATGCCCAGCTTCCTTCTCAATTAGCAACAACTCTTGGAAAATGGCTTTTGTAGGGAAGGGAGACACAACCTCTTCATTTCATTTTAGCAATTATTATTATTATTTTTTAAAAATTTAAAAAATATCTTTATTAATTTCAGAAAGGAAGCGAGAGCTCACTTTCTTCAAAGCTTCACAGGCTTCAGGGCACTGGTCGTGAGGAGGAGGAGGCCTAGGAGGCAGCGTCCTTGCTGTGCGGGGTGTGTCTGAGGCTTGTTGAGCACCAACAGCCCGGGATTGGGGCCTCTGTGCCTCCCGGACTCCTCTCTGCCCACAGCGTTCCCGCAGCCTGACCCCGTTTAACCCCCCAGCCTTGGGGACTGGCGCCTCTCAGGTCCCGCCGCCCAGGAAGCCGCATCCAGAACAGTGAGTCTCTCCTGGGTGACACAGGGTGTGATGGGGGATGAGGGCCACAGGCTGCAGTGCCACCTTCTAAGGACTCGGTGGTGGGGCTGAGGCAGGAGGATTAGGAAAACCCGGGTCTGTTGTGGATCCAAAGGCAACAGAGAGATGAGGTGTGGTTTTGCACGAGCAGTTTTACTTTCATTTTCAGAACGCTGGGGCCATAGATGGTTGTGAAAAAAAGAGGGAATTTTCTGAGGCCGGATTCTAACTTTTCCTAACTTTGCTCAGAGGAAGGACAGACTAGAAGACAGAGGACAGCAGCTGTGGACAGGAAGGAGAAGTCCTGTAAATGATAAGGGAACTGGCA